TATTTAAAACCAGACTGAAACACTTCGTGAATACCATGTAGATCTAAAAATGAATTCAATTGTCCAAATACTACCTTCTCCAGTAGTTTGGAAAGAAACTGAAGTTTTGAGATAGGTCTAAAGTGAGCAAAGACTGATGAATCCAAGTTTGATTTCTTGATTACTGGTTCCACTGCTGCATGTTTAAAAGACTTAGGTACGACTCCCGAGGCTAGGCTACTATTAATAATTGCAAGAATTTTAGGACCAACAGTTTCAAATGAGTCTTTCAGAAGACTAGGCGGAACAATATCCATGCCACATGAGGATGATTTAATTTTAACAATGATCTCTCTCAATGAGGTAAGAGGCACCGGCACAAACTGATTAAAAACAGCAGAGCACTCAGTGGAAATGGGTAAAAAAGTCAATGGCCATCCATCTATCATTTCTAAGTCATTTAGACTCATTTAAGCTTCAATTCTACCTAATTTTTGTATCATCTGTCTATCATTTTAATATTTAGAACCGTTTCAAACTTTCAGGTAGGGCTGTGCAATATTGAAGAAAATGTGATGTGATACCTTGTTAAAAATTTGATATTCAATAAACGATATGATATTGCTTTAAGTGTGCAAAATCAATTTAAGTTATATTTTAAAATATTTAAAAATTAAAATTTTAATTTTTTGTCAGACAGCAAGACAGGATGGCAAGTAGATGTTTTCTGTAACTTATTGCACTTAACTCTTTTTAACGTCAAAGAAGTCTGGCACGTGCCCAGTCTATTCTCTGCTATATGCGTTGACCTAAAACTTTTGACTTTTTGCAACATTTTATTAAATGATTCATTTTATCTATTAAAATGATTCAGATTATTCAGCCTATTATTAAAATGATTCAGATATTGCAATGCCATTGCGATATGCATATCACGATATTTACATTTGTGATATTTCGATCATTTTATTATATCGTGCAGCCCTACTTTCAGGCTAGCCAACATTAAGTTTGTCTTGACGAACTTCATCTAGTTCTCTGGGAAGAATCATAAATGTGTTAAATCATCTAAATTAACAACATGATCTATTACTCTGAAGCGATCGATATTGTGTATAAATAGCGTGTAACTGAGTCCATCCTAAAGAGCGGCTCACTGTTACCAGCTATAATTATCATGTGGCGTATCAATAACAATGACTCAGGGTTTGTGGGAAAGTGAATGTCAAAGCAGCTTTGTGGGCTAATACAGATCAGGATTACAGTGAATGTACTGGGAACCTTGTTTAAATCTAGAAACACTGGATTACAGACACGTGTCTCGAGGCTAAACGAGACGAGGCCGAACCTGACGTGCAGCAGTTTGGCCGTCTGGACGAAGCAGGACTGATCCGTCTCCTTCAGCACCTCCTGAGCATATCCCACAAGGCCGCTGTTCTCCAGCATGCCCTGGTACTCCTCCACCTGCGCCCGCAGACGCTCCACCCGCAGACTCCGGCTCTGCTCGATGGAGCGCAGCATCTCCGTCCTCCGCTCCTGAAGCGTCTCCAGCAGACGCTCGAAGTGTTCGCTGGCGCGTCTCTCGGCGAGCTGCCCGTTCTCCTGCGTTCAGAGCTAGATCTTATCAAGGTGCTTCTTACGACTATTTTGAGAGTTAGTAAGCAAAACAAAAGAATTATCACAACAATCAGTCCATATCGATAATTATCACCATAAATGTCAAATCTTTAATTTCTTTCATGTTTAAAGCCAGATTTTTGCTCCAAAGGGAAAGCTGTAGAAACCAGACCATTACTTTTCCTTAGCAAAATTAATATCTTCATTTCTTAGTTTCTGTATGTTCTAATGAGTAATATAGTTTCAAATCATGAAACAGGTTTGCACTGCCTGGTAATACTAATACACTGCAAAAAATTATTCTCTTAGTATTTTTGTCTTATGTTCTAGCATTAATATCTAGGGGTTAAAGCAAAAAAAAAAAATCCTGAGCCTGAACTTCTTCCCGGGGAGCGGGGCAGCACATGCAATGACTGGCAACTTTAACATGTGAAAGGATACTATGGCAAAGTTATCGCTTTCTTTATTCAAACTGATTTATTTTCATGAATATATGACTGACCTGAAGAATGAAAGCTGTATCATACACTTGGAAAATTATGAGCTATATCACTGCTTATCGACTCTAGGGGTGTGACAACACACTTAGCTCACGAGATGAGACAAAATACAGATACTTGGTTCACTAGAACAAGACAATGTTTTAATACTGTTTTTAAGAAATTTTTAATGACAAAATATTTGTTTTTTAATTACAAAAAGTAAAACAATGCGTTGTATTTAGAAATATTTTAACTAATCTAGGGCTGTAACTAATGATTATTTTGGTAATCAAGTAATCTACTGATTATTTTGATAATGGAGTAATCTGATATTTTTAGTAACACAAACAGACCTAAGTGAAAACCAGGCTTTAGTATGACTATTTATATATAAACTAACGATGAGGCAATAATAATTGACTCAAAAAATATATCAAAACCAAGAAATTACATGATTGTATTGAACAACACTGTTAAAATACATAAATGTAATATGCCTATACATAATATGAACATAACCAAGTACATTATGTACTATAACAAACACCTGCAGAGGTTTCATTTTACAGCGTGATTAAACCATGTTTAAATCCATTTAATTGTAATATTTGGCCACATGCAGAAACTTTTATTTTGAAATCGCGATGTATAATACATGGCATATTTAGACATAGGTTGATGTATTCTGCTGTGTTGGCAAAGGTTTATAAATGATTTACGTTACAAATCTATTGAGATAATGCACAGTGTTTTTCTAGATGAACGTTAAGCAATTCAAACTCACAGCATATACAGAGGAAGAGTTTAGCCCCTTTCACACATACAGTCTTTACTGGTAAATCACCGGTAAGTTACCATTAATACATCATGTGTGACCTTTTTAAAAATCCCGGTAAATTTGTTCTGGCGATCATATAGTTTTATGGAGATGACATGATTACTCTGAGCTGTTTACAAAGCTCCGCAGCTTTTTAATGAGTTATTCTATGTAAATATGCGCTAGATGGACATCTTTGACCATTGCGTCTCGCAGCTTTTCGTTGCGCTTCTCCATTCATCAGCTGCGACTCTGCAGTTGGATACTATTATACGCGTCTCGTGTTTATAAGAGCAAAACATTCTGACTGGCTAGTAATGTTAGTTTGGTTGGGAGTGAAAGCTGTGCTCCTCTCATACATTGGTAGGCGAACTCATGAACTCGAAAGTGATAAACAAGTTTTTTTTTTAAATGTAGGACTATTTTTGTTTCCGCAGCCAAACGCTGCACGCCGGAGATCCAGCACGGTGCCGGAGAACTTTAAGCCCTGAATATCTAAACATTCTTGAATCAAGATGCATTTACTTGACAAGTAAAATGATTTAAAGGGGTCATATGATGCGATTTCATTTTTTCCTTTCTCTTTGGAGTGTTACAAGCTCTTGGTGCATAAAGAAGATCTGTAAAGTTGCAAAGACTAAAGTCTCAAAACCAAAGAGATATTCTTTATAAAAGTTCAGAGTGAGCCACACCTATCTAAAACGGCTCGTTCTAACACGCCCCCACATGTCTACCTCACTATGTGGGAAGATTTGCATAACGCCGCCCAAATGTTCACGCAAAGAAAGAAGGCGTAACTTTTATTCTCGCTGTAGTATTGTTGCTGCCGCCATGTCGTGAAGACACTGTGTGCTTCGTTGTGAAAGCGAAACTACTTTGTTTGGTCTTCCAAAAGAGGACGATATCCGCTTCGTCATGCCTAGAGCTGATCTGTGCTGGTCGCTGAGGGAATACATCAACTTAGTGCTGTGGCTCGCCGGCACATTTTATGGAGGACTGTTTACTGATCCTGGGAGAGTAACGTTAGAATAAAATGCCGGCAGTTCTGACTCACGTAAGTACGTTTTCTTTTATCATTTGCCACTGATGATTCAAACGCGAGTTTTGGGCAGTGTGGAGTAGCACTTGTTGTTTGTCATTTCTCTCAATAACTGCAGCTGGGTTATTTTGATTAGGTTAAAAAAATAACTAAAAATGACAGCTAACTAACACAATAAAAACATGATTGCATAATAAAAAACATGATTTTTGAACATTTCTTTGCATGTCTTTGCATATAAACTCTTCATATGTATATATCTGCTACACTGCAAAAAAATTAATTCTTACTTAGTATTTTTGTCTTGTGTTCTAGTATAAATATCTAAACATTCTTGAATCAAGATGCATTTACTGTACAAGTGAAATGACTTAAGATATTAAGTCTTGTTGTCTACAAAAAAAAAATTGTTAGTTTTTGCTTAAAACAAGCAGAAATATCTGCCAATGGGGTAAGAAAAATAATCTTAATTCAAAAGCTAAACAAGATTATTTTTCTTGCCACATTAGCAGATATTTCTGCTTGTTTTAAGCAAAAACTAACAATTTTTTTTTTGTAGACAACAAGACTTAATATCTTAAGTCATTTCACTTGTACAGTAAATGCATCTTGATTCAAGAATGTTTAGATATTTATACTAGAACACAAGACACAAACACTAAGAGAATCATGTTTTACAGTGTAATAAGTAGCAGCTCGAGTTAGGATGCAGATGCAGATGCTCATTAATGTCAGTGACATCTGTAAAAATTGTAGCAACCTCATTTTTATATGGTGAAATGTAATTATTCTGCCCGAGTTTTTTTTTTTTTTTTTTATTAACTACTGGTCTTCCATAGTAGCATACATTTAAATCATGATAAACACAGTTAAAACCACATATAGCACCTCAATACCATGGTAAACATATAACTGGTTTTTAGGTATTTGTATGAAAAACAGTAGTCTAAATACATTTAGTATAAATGCACAAACGCTATAGCTTAATCACAGAAAATACTGTAATTATATTCCATTACTCCTTTAATCGTTTTGTTCCGCTTTTGGTGCATAAACATTATATTAAACATTTATCGAACTCTCCATATTGTTTTATCAAGGAAAATTATACCGTGAAGATTCGCGATAATTATCGCTATTGATTTTTCGCCCAGCCCTTGGTTTAGGTCATAGTAGGGATGGACGATGTGACCATTCCTATTTCACAGTATCTTTGCTATTGTCTTAACTCTTCCTATTTTTAATAACAAACAATAGGACAAACACAGAAAGACACAAGTGAAATAAAGAGCGCTTGAAGTGTTTAACAGCAGCGCGACTCTAATTCTCACCGATCACGATCTAGTACTGTCAAACGGATTGTGTTGAGGTGGATGCTGGATTAATAATGACGGGAAACGCTGAGATGTTGAGGGTGAAGCCCTGTGAGAGACATGCTGATATATCTGGCTTTAATTAAATGCATTTAAAGGGGCGATTGCTTGACGATGCTAAAAAGAACATTATTTTGTGTATTTGGTGTAATGAAATGTGTTTACGCGGTTTAAGATGAAAAAAACACATTATTTTCCACATACTGTACATTATTGTTTCTCCTCTATGCCCCGCCTTTCTGAAACACGTCGATTTTTACAAAGCTCATCGTTCTGAAAAGCGAGGTGTGCTCTGATTGGCCAGCTATCCAGTGCGTTGTGATTGGCCGAATACCTCAAGCGTGTGACGGAAATGTCACGCCCCTCACCATATTTGGAAACACACAGCTCCATGACAACAATACTACAGCGAGAATAAAAGCTACGCCTTCTCTCTTTGCGTAAACATTTGGGCGGCGTTATGCAAATCTTCCCACACAGTGATGTAGATATGTGGGGGCAAATCATGTCATTTGACCCCTTTAAACTGTAATTACATTCATTTATTTTGACGCTGTATCTGCTTCATTTCATGAACTCCCTCAGAGTAGAGAACGATATTGTTGGGTTTTTCCAGCTGAGAAACGATAAACACTGACAGCCAGTCAGAATCCATTCAGGTTTAAAGGGCCGGCGCATTTAAAACAGCAGATGATGTTAGAGTTAGCGTCGTTAGTCATAGCGGAGGTGCAGAAAAACACACCAGTTTAATAAGACAAACCCACTTTTCAAAGATGCTTCCAAAAAAATGGATGTCGGAATAAATGGTGGTATGCAGTGTTGGGGGGGATGCATTAGAAGTAACATGAGTTACATAATCAGATTACTTTTTTCAAGTAACTAGTAAAATAATGCATTACACTTCTAAATTTACAAAGAAATATCTGAGTTATTTTAAAATAAGTGGCTTTGTTCAGTGACAGTGTTGAGAGAAATCGGGAGTAAATGCAGAGATAGAGGCTCTTCCTTCAGGTTGAGGATTATTCATTTCACTTTTGGTGTGAAAAGGCCTTTACAGCTGCCAAATATATCACTTTTGGGATTTTTGTTATTAAACAAACAAGCAAACCCAGCCCGGATGACAAAATGTAACAATGCATTACTTTCGCAATTAGTTACATTTTATGAAGTAACACAATATTGTAAAGCATTACTTTTAAAAGTATCTTTCCCCAGCAGTATTAAGGAGAGTATTAACGAAGATTCGAGAAACCTAACAATCGCTGCATGATGCCATTTGTCGTGAGGATAAAAATAACTTCCCAAAACGTTCAATACGCTGATATTAAAAATGCATTTAAGAGCTCATGGACATAAACAGAACATAAATAAGACATCAACGGCAGCATTAACCACTTCTCTGAATAAATTATCATTGAGTGTAAATCACATCAACAGAGCACGCCTGTTCCGATTGTTCCGACCAATCAGGATCAAGCAGGAAATGAGCTCGCCGTTACCTCTGTGTGACGCATCATCTCCTCCAGCTCAGAAATCTGAGTCCTCACTTGGTCTTCTTTACTAATTAAGTAATGGATACTCTTCGATAGCTTCTCCTGTTGACAGAAAAGTGAAGCCTATTAGAACACAGTGGAAATAAACCGGCCTCCCGCATGATTTCTGGACAGAACGAGACACCTAACACAGCTTTTGTGAGTGCTGTGATCCGGACAGAACATCAAAAGACAGAAGTGATCGCATTAAGAATGAATGAGTCCCAGCTGGTGTTTGCAGACGTCTAGTATTTCTGACTCGGCCGCTTCTTCATGCTCCCTCCCCGGACAGAAACACGAGCGCTTGTTTTCAGCTCGGGCATCAATACTTTAAAGGGGTCATGAATTGAAAAAATAGACTTGATCTTATGACCTATAAAGAGGTCATTTGCACTATAAAAACATGCTGTGAGCTGATGTTGACCAATCACAGCAGTGGACGCTTACACTGAAGTCTTAAAGAGACACGCCTAACTAAACAGTTCAAAGTAGGATAGAAAATGACCATTTATTTCTAAATTATTACTCCTACTAATAGTCATACAGCTCTGGAAAAAATGAAGAGCCCACTGGAAAATTCTAAGTTTCTCTGGATTTACTAGGTGTGGGTTTGAATAAAATGTTAATATTTATTTTATTCTATAAAAGGTCTGATAACATTTTTTCCATAAAAATATTGTCATTTAGAGTTTTTTTTTGCTGAAAATGACAATTTGCCAAAATAACAAATGATTTCATTTGTTGCGATTGAAAATCAGGGTTATTCCACCAAATATGGACTTCTTATGAAGTTAAAACATTAAAAATAAATATAAACATGTTTAAAAACATGGCATCTTTTTTTGTTATTTTGACCATTTATCCAAAAAATGCTCTAAATTACAACATTTTTATTTAAAATATGGAAGAAATGTCTTCAGTAGTTTACAGAATATTTTTTTTTAAATTAAGTTTTACTCAAACATGCAACTAAAAATCACAAATCCAGAGAAACTGAGTTTTCAAGTGGTCTCTTCACTTTTTCCAGAGCTGTAAGTGCACTATGGAAGCCCATTTCTGCCACTGAATAATAAAAAAACAAGAAAGTGAGACTTTTTAATCTCACCCTTATGATTTTCTTCTCAGAATTGCGAGGTATTAACTCTCAATATAAACTCTGAGAAAAGTACTCCTGATTTCAAGGAAAAAGTCAGAATTACAAGATATAAACCCAATATGAAATCTGAGAAATGAAGTCAGAATTGCACGATATAAACTCACAATTGCGCAAAAAAAAAAAAAAAAAAAAAAGTGGAGAAA